ATTTCCTGGGGATTATCATATGCCAAATGTCTTTTAAAAATTTAAACTTGCCTTGGAATCTTCACAATTGCTTCATAAGCTCTAGGAATTCAATTTTTATCACTTAATATAAATTGAAGATGGGAGGAATTGATTTAGGAAAACATTGTACATCATTTCAATATGCAAAGCAATTTATCTGTGGTAGAAAGTTATTAATACAATATTCTCAACCAGCAGCAACCTGCAGCTGAATCCTCAACATCTCTTTTGGAAATAGACACCCTATATTTTTCATTTCTATATATTCAATTGACATATTTGTCTTGTGTGGGGCCAGATTTAAGATTCTAGTGCTTAAATATTCAATTTTGGTGGAATAGTAGAAACAGTGAATTATATTGCAGATCTAGTAGAAGCTAATGTGCTAAATACTGGGACAGTTTTCCAATATAGATTTAAGGTTGTTGTTTTTTCCCCTAGAAATTATTTTCAGTTTGTTTGAAGAAGATTGGATCTGGGACTTGATCGCACCACATCATCTCTGAATCTTATGTGCTTATAGTAAGGTGACCAGATTTTAACATTGGTAAAGCGGGACACCATTGACCGGGGAGGCAGGTTCTTGATTAAAAATTTGGTCTAAATTATCTTCTCCACCCACCCACTCCCAGGGGTCCTAGGCAAAGGGGGGACTTAGGCTGCATACTGTCACACCTTGCTTTCCCATCCACATAAACTACCTTCAAAAACGTGGGGCTGCTTCAGCCGCAGTGGTGGCTGTGGGTGCCCGCCTCATCTCCAGAGATTCCCAGCCGGAGACCGTGGCTGCATGCATCTCCCTTCCATCCCCTTCTCTAGGGCCAGCACACAGCCCATTTCTGCTCTGCCTTAATTGGATAAAAAGGGAGGGGGGACTCCCTTCGGACCTCTCCTCTGCAGCTTCCCCTTCCCACCCCTCTTGCACAAGGAATTTGGCACGAGAAAGGCGCGCAGCGGATCACTTCGAGTCGACCCCAGGTCCTCGAGCGTGAGCTGAGGCTGCGATCGCCGCTCGCTATCCAACCAGCGGGTAACTTTGATATTTCCAGGTGGACAAACTGACAGGATTCTCCCACTTAAAGGCGTTGGAAGATTCACGGTTAGTCACTGTCACAAGCCCGCTCAGTTACTGTCCTGTACGTGAAGAGTTGCGATTGAACGCCAGGGGTTGCTCTCCTAATCGTTAAACAATTTCCTAGATATTTTTCGTTCTCCTGTTCTCCCGCCATTTCCTAGCTTGCCGTGCATTCTTTCCAAAAATCGGGGCTTTTTTAAAAAGCCACGGGACGAGGAACAAATTGTGAAAAATCGGGACTGCCCTGCCAAAAGCAGGACGTCTGGTCACTTTAGCTTATAGATATATTTAAAGGGACACCATTTATCATTGCATGAAGATATGTAAGCATGCCATGAAAACAAGACTCTTATGCTATTCAGGATCCTAATCAATGTGTTTGTTTGTTTACTTATTTATTTGTATCATACCTTTATTATTTTTATAAATAACTGAAGGCAGTGAAAATATACAACATAACTTCCTCCTCCTTTTCCCCACAACAACAACCCCGTGAGATGAATTGGGCTGAGAGGGAGTGTCACCTCAAGACCACCCAACTGGCTTTCATGGCTAAGGTGGAAGTAGAACTCACAATCTTCTGCTTTCTAAACTGGTGCCTTAACCACTAGACCAAAGTGTCTCATTCAAATGTAAGTTGGGGACATTTTAAAGGCATTCATATCAGTCTTCCTTATTTATCTTTAACTTTGGCAGAGACTAAACCTGTTAAGAGAAAAAATGAAGAATGATTTCTTCTATTAAGCTTTATAATTTTATATCTATGTTCTGAAGGTGAAGGGTTTTAGAGAGATCCACAAAAATCTGGTTGCAGTGATTTTTTTTATCATTCTCTGGAGTAATAGCACTGATTCAAATGTTAAACATATTCAAATCTATTATCACCCTAAAAATGAGTTTCACTTTCAGCAAATGTGAAACATATGGATACCTGGATTCCATATAGCTAAGCACTTTCAAGACATGCTGCGTTCAGAATCTGTTTGCGTACTATCCAAACTCAGAAGGATGTAATTTGGAAAGCACATCACCTATCAGCCCACCTAAGTAGTTAAAACAATTTAAATGAGTTCTCAGTGGGACTAGTGATGGATTATGGTTTCTGCTTTGGTCTCAATGAAGCACAACAGCAGAAATCAATAACCCACTCCAAATGTATATAAGCTAAGCAAGGCAAGACAAAGTAAAGGGCATCTGGCCTACAGGTGGGATTTCTGAGAGAAGATGGAGGAGGAGAAAGAAAAGAAAGTAATTGTTTTATTCACTTTCACTGGTCAATTCTATTGAAGAGAATTCAGATTTCTTTTCAGATCATCTAATCTGTGAGATGAGTTTGCCACTAATTCCATATAACTAAGTTCCATTGTGTTTGTCTTGCTTAGTTATATCTGGGTGGGGGGTGGGGGTGGGTGAGGGAAACTTTGTACACAGGAACAGCAGTATCATGGATAATCCTCTAAGATAGTGAATGGAACACATATTTTTTAGGCCAATGATTGCATGCATCCAATGAATGGTTATTGGTGAAGGGTATGTCCATTAAGGAGACCCAATACAAAAATATTTCATTTCAATGAAAATTATTAAATCAAGTTATTATAGTGAATATATTTATAAGCTAAACATTTAGTAAGCTTCCTTTCTATGACATCAAAAAGTAAAATTCTGTGACAATCTTCAAAGTCTATTTGTCACATCTAAGGCTTTTAAGGCTATATCTTCTCTGGACATTTTAGGCTGTAATCTGTTTCCAAATACACCATCATTTTTCTCTTTTTAAATTGGTGTTCTATATAATCTATTGTTTTGTTATAATGTAAGACTGGTATCATGCTTCAGGCACATTCCCCCCCCCCTCCATAAACTGTGGGTAGGTAAAGAGCTTGGCAGGCCCCCAGAGAAGAATTGTGGGCATATTGATAGTTTGGAGATCATGGTTCACCATTGCTTATTCTATGCTATACTGTACAGATTTCCTTTTCAGTGGCTGTATTTATATAGAAAATCAATAGATATCATACTATAAATACAATTAATAATGAAATAAGGCTAATTATTATTTGTATGGATTAGACAACGGGTGATTTGAAGATTCAACTACATCAATGACAAAATTTAACATATGTTTCTATTTACATTCAAGTTTGAAACACAGCCAATTCTTCCTTATTCTTCTTGGCTTTGATTCAACAGGCTTCATTATCTTTGTTGGCTTTGGGGGAGACCTTAAGCTCGTTGTTTATTCAAGCTTGTTTAATCATCTCACTTCATATAGCTCCAGTTTGTGATAAAATGTTAGGCTTTAACATGACAGATTACAATTAGTTGCAAGATTTAACAATCAGCAAGTGTTATTTTAATATTGTGAAAAGTTAGCCTATCATTGAATAAATTACAAAATCAATATAAACATAAAATTCATTGAAATGGAAAATGCATTCTTTATACTTAAAATTAATTATAATGGATTAAATCAAGATTATACTTTCATATCTGAAAGCAATCACTGTTCCATTGTTTTGTAACATTGAGTTACAGAATGGAATTCTTAGTAAGACAAGTTTCCTATTTTTTTCCTTCCAGGCATTTAAAATATTTTGAAGTGTGATCTGTGGGTAGTTTGGAAAGAAAGATTGCTTAAGTCAATGCTCTAGAATAATATAATAGATTCACACATTCATTTATGTGATCCTGAAATCACCTTATCAACTGAGAGCAATTTGGGACTAACATATGGCAAGATTTACATACTTTCCAGAAAAAACATATAAATTGATTGATGGAATGGTGCAGTTATTGCATTTTCTTGCGAGCTAATATGGTCTAGTCACTAAGCGGAAGTGAAAGCTGAAGATCTGGGAAATCAGATCTTGCTCTTCCTTATTTTCAGAACAGGTTCATACATTGTATATTTTAATACATGTTTAAAAATGGTACATTGCAAACATTAGAAAAAGTAAAACATTTATTTCCTATTTAATGAAATTTATGCTTGATTATTTAGAAATCAAAATAGTTCCTAGTTGATGCATGAACTGTAGTAAAATGGGACTGCCTGTATCTCTGAGAAGCAAAAAGCACTTATGCTTACAATACTTTTGTATTTACAGAGTTATTCTATGCACAGGATAGCTTGCAGTTAGGCTCAAGGTTGACTCAACCTTCCATCCTTTGCAGTCAGTAAAATGAAGACCCAGATTGTTGGAGGCAATATGCTGACTCTGTAAACTGCTTAGAGAGGGCTGTAAAACACTGTGAAGCAGTATAGTTATAGTTATAGTTGAGTTTATTTATAGGCCGCCCTTTTCCCTGAGGGGACTCAGGGCGGCTAACAACTT